AATTGCATATTTATGACATGTGTAGATAGCCAAGTTAAGAATCGGTTGACTTAGTAGTGTATATTTATTATGACTGTAATTGAGGACAATACACCAGCGGAGGGAGTGCTGCTGACGTTGTATTATACTATATTATGTATTTTTAATGGTGGGTTAATATGGGTGGGTGTTTTTTGATTAGTAATTTGGTGTTGGGTGTGAGTAACAGGATGGGACGTTTTCTTGGTTAATATCTACTTGTTATTAGTTTTTCCATTTTGGATATTGTATTAAGCATGGTTTGATGGGTCTAACTTATGTAAGTGTGAGTTTTTTGATTGTAGTTTGTATGGTATATAGATGGTATATGGTATTTGTCAATATATGATTGTGGTAAGTATTCTGATGGTTCTAACTTATGTAAGGATTTTTTTTGATTGTAGTTTGTATGGCATATAGATGGTATATCTGTCAACATATGATTGGTGTAAATATGTCGGTGTTTTTAGATGATGTGGTATGAACATTTTCGCAAGTAGGTAAGTAGTAAGTAAGTAAGTAAGTAGGTATGTAATATTGTATTACTTGTTGGTTTGTATTGGTATGTAGTGATATATATACTTTCTTTCGTACTGATGACATTATGTTGGGAAACTTTTGCAATTGTCCCATATCCACTCTGATGAGCCTTTGTTGTTCCCAGGCGTAACGCGTCAGTGGTAATAATAGTGTACAGTGACTAATTTTCGAATACCTGTTGGTATTCATATGGACAGTGCTTATTGAATACATAGGGATGTATATTTTTAAATGTGGTATATATGTGTTGTAGGGATACTGCATGGTAAGTGATGATAGCATGGTGTTATGGTGGGGGTGTTATATTAAACATGTGTGATACTATGTTGTATATAATTCTAGACTACATTATATTTATTTAGTTTTATATGTTGAATATTTATATATGTTCATTAATTTTTAATGTTTGGTATTTTTGTATTATAATGTTTCATGGTTACACAATAAGTTTGTTTTTTCCAAACTGTCATGCTATATTTCAGTTTTATTTTTATAATTATATAATGGTCTACATATAGTATACTATATTTACTATATATAAGTAATATAAATGAATCACCTAATGTAGTTTTTATAGAAATTATGCTATGTCTCTAAACTATGGTTTTAGGTATATTATATATATGTTTTAATTTTTTTGTGTCTATGGTAAGGTTTTATTATTGGTAGCATAATGGGTATTTATTAATAATAGAATTTTGGTTATCATTCATTATTTGTAATTTTATGTTATCATTCATTATTAAGTGTATTTATATTACTATATCTTTTTTTTTATCAGTTTATTACTGATACTTGTTAGATTTTGATTATATTGAATATGAATATTAATATATTGAATATATGAATATATAGTGTTTATTATTATTTGAATTGATGTTATCATTTATTATTATGTGTATATATATTATTATCTTATTATCCTATTTAATTTTTATTTTTTATTTTTGCTATTTTTGTTGTTTTTATTATATTATTGGTAATTATTTTTAATATTGGTAGTTATCACAATTTTTATTTTATTTTTATTTATTTTATTTTATTTTATTTTATTTTATTTTATTATTGGTACTTATATAATTTGAATTTTTTATTTTATTTTTACTATTGGTACTTATATAATTTAAATATCCTATTTCTATTTTATATTATTATCGGCTCTTATATAATTTGAATTTCTTATTACTAGGGGAATATATTATTGTATATTTTTATTATTATTTATCTATATTATTATCTATAGTATTATGCTATACAGGGGTAGGTTATGCCATCGATAGGGATCATTTAGACTTAGAGTTAGTGTAGGTGCTTACTATTTCCGTTGATTAGGCATCACTCCGATATCTTGTCATTGAACATTATACCGTGGGCATGGTCATATATCCAGTTGCTGGATGTATGGGCATGACAGTGACAAACCTTTGGTTTTGTTTGGTAAGGCTGAAGGTTTGAGCACATAAAAAAACGTTCTCATACGTATGTGCGCAATTTTGCGCAAAAAATCTGTGCGATTTTTATGTTTTCGTGCAAGATACATATATATATATAAATATATATACGTACATATGTGTCTGTATTGTATTTTATAAATATATTTTGCATTTTACAGCTTCAATTCGTTAAATAAAACTATGACATCAAATACAAACGCCTTCGTACAACATCTTCATCTTGTGGTATAAAGGAACGGAGCAAGTTTATCATTTTAGAAAATCCAGTAAATAAATTAAAAGTAACAAAATAAGTGTTAAGCTGAAAAATATATATCAAATTTTAGAAAATATTTACACAGTCAATGTGTTTGTTACAATTAAAAATAATATTTATAATTTCTAAGAACTTGTACATTGTATGAAAAATTTATGAAAAACTGAAGTGCCAATAACGAAGGCTATTGTATTGTATTGGGTTTAATATATTGTTCAATAAATATTTTTATAATATAAATTTAAAAAAAATTAAAGTTTCTAATTTCAGTTTTTGAAATATTACATATAATAAATTTGTTTATAAAAATTGTAGTTAAATACTGCCCATTAAAGGAAAATTCTTTTAATGGAAAATAAGAACTATGGAATAGAAATATTAGGTTAGATGCTCGTTTATGACAATATTCATTTAACAGAGGTTTTACTTTAAAACAACAAATTTGATCTCATTCAAATAATTCGTTTTCTTACATTACTTTTCAGCTTACCCTTTATCTTTAGATTTATTATAACTTCATTCTTATATCACACACCGAATAAGAACCATTAAATGCAATTCGTTGTGGCTCTCACGTGATTCTCCTGAAATTCGTCATACCAAAAGTTAGATTAGCCCTTTATTTGGGGCTGCCGCTTAGGTAGGTTTAATTTGTTGTAAGTTTTTAAGTGCAAATATCAAACGTCTGTTCCCAGTAATTTGAATATATCAGGAGATCAACTATAAATTTTTCTTCTGATATCCTTATCTGAATAATTTCACATTGAATTTTTATTTTAATATATAGTCCTTTGTGTTTTGCCGGCAAATAAGACCAGAAATTTCTTATTTAATCTTCATACTTCATCCTCTAATCTTTCAAAATATTCCTCGTCATTTTGTGTTGATATGTTGATTGTGTTGATATCCTCAATGACATTTTCCAACTCCTGAAACACCATTTAATATGCTTTCCAAGTACTTTTGAAATTTGGCAGGGGTACCTGCTATCAGCGCATGCGTTAGCGCTGATACTGAGTCCGAATTTCCGGGTTTCAAACTATGCACGCTAATGAAGTGTTTGGCAAAATTTGCCGCCAAACCGGCTTGATTAACTCGCTCAAAAACAGTTTAAAAGTGTGCTCGGTGTTTAGAAGGAAACAATATTTTTCTTGGTCAAAATATTTTTTGCTATCAGACTTGAGCTTACTGTTGAAAAAATCATGGAGCAGAGGTGACTATTTATAAGAGCTGAACTAAATTTCACAGTTAAGATTGTTGTGCCTTTGAAGAGCATTTTTTAGTTGAATATGCCTTGGAGGAGCGTTTTGGATGGCATATTTAACATGTCGTACGAAACTGTGCCTAGGGAGTAGCTGAAATACTTCACCTTGTCGACAAACTAAATGGAAGTGTTGTCAAACTATGGTTTGATGGGAGTGGCATGAAAGCCTTCATGGTGATCCCACTATTGGCGTAAGAGAGCGATGGCAGAGATCTTTATGGGATTGAGCTTAATTTTCCATCTGATTAAGATGAAGATTATGCTTCTCGCAGATACGATGCGGGTTAGACTATCGGTTTAAAAAAAGAGGTTGCAAAGAACTGGGCGCTGCTACTGTTCCATTTTGTTCGTATGTTTCAAACCCTAGCAGAGATTAACTGTGATTTGCAGGGGTGCAGAAAATAGATCTAGCTGTATTTCTTTGCTCCACTATTTTCAGCGGTAAAAGGCTAGTGCCACCACAAACTAAGTACAATTAATTGTTTAATAATATGACTATTCTTTTGTAGCAATGTCGTAAAAGAACAACACAAAATTAACACTACTTTCGATTGCAGCTTTGGCAAAACGTTTTGCTATGGCAAAACTTTGATACCTGACACATTTATATATATAAATACACATTTGCAACACATGTAAATTTAAAGTTAAGTTAATGAATTTATTTAATAATTAATTAATAATTAAATTAATAATAATTTACACTTAAAAAATAATAAGTTAAGTTACAACTACCAAATATGAATAGTAACTACACGTAAAACGATACTTCACAAAAACATATGTTGACAGTTAACTGTAAATTATGTACGTACCTCCAAAAGTCATTCACAATAGACGAATTTTTAGTCTTGACAATCATGCGAATTGAGCTTTATGTTAGTTAAGCGGTTTCAAACAAGTTGGACTAAATAAGCCAACAGGGTTCTTGTTTCATACATATGTTATTTTTAGTATAAGCGGTTGTTCCTTTCTTATATGCCTGCAAAAGAAAAGCTCTAATATTGTTTATTTTGGAGTCTGGAGAAATAAAATTTCAAACGTTTACATTAAATTTTTTATTCATTTTCATCATAGTCCGCAGGAGGCAATTTTTACATGCCAGTGACACTCTACATTATATTGGTCTAAACAATTTGTTGTTTTTTTGCCATACTTCAGAGTTGCCGAAGTCACCTTATATTACCTTGTTTTTGTTTAATATTATTAAATATTTTTATTAATATAAATATGATTAAAAATCACTAATAAATACATAACAATTAATTTTTCAAAAAATATTTTAGAGTACCACTCTCAATGTTCTCTAGTCTATAATTCAAAATAGAAACAACATTTTTGACACATAAAAGGTCTTTTAAATTAAATTGAAGAGTGGGTAACCCTGTACTTCTAATAATTCAGTTGATGTTTAACCATTGAGAGTAAAATATTACGGATTTGTTAAATATTGTTCCACAGATATAAAATGTCTTCGGTATTATAGTCTTAAAATGTTTTTGAATATTTATTAGAAATTTATGACGTTAATATTTTTCAGTCCACTACTCCTACGAAAACTGTTCAGGAATTTAATATTCGCGTGCCAAAAAATGTACGTAAAAACTATCATTTAATGGCCTTCAATGCCAGTTTGAATGTTGACTTTGCCACATGGCAGGATGTGAAATTAGAGAGGGAAAATGGTGCAGAAACTGCAAAGAAACATCGCCCGAAGGCTCAACCATGGGTACTTCAACTAGAGAAAAACACTGCTAAAAAATTTAAAGGAACACGGCACGGCGGTTTCGATGAAAATGCTGCATTTTATGCATTAGTTGATACTCCTGATGGAGCTACAGAGGCATATCGTATTAAAGAGTATTATAAATTTCAACCAATTCAACGTTATACAACTCTATCAGCAGAAGAAGCTGAACATGAATTTGGAAGACGAAATAAGATTCTTAATTATTTCAACATAATGATGCGTAAACGGTTAAAGAGAGGTGATAAAGAAGAGAAAGAATATAACGATAAAAATGTTGATGGCAAAAAGTCTGAATTAAAAATACGTGAGATGGTCGAATGGATTGATTCTAATGAGGAATCTGATTCAGATGAAGGAGAAAGTGAAAGTGAAAAGAATGAGGATAGCGTTGGTGATAAAAAGTCTAAGAAAGGAAAAGAAGGAAGGGAAACAAAAGTGAACCCAGATATAGATATTGAAGCGTTTGAGCAATTAGATGATGGAGATGAGGACGAGAAAGAAATCGATTATAATACGTCATCAAGTGAAGAGTAACTTATTTTTATAATCATCAAATTCAATTTCAAATAATTTTATGAAAAAAGCAAATAAACAAATAGTCTTACTTCTGATGAAATGCTCTTTAATTAAATGAAATAATTAAACTCTAGTGTATTGTAAAATTTCTTTATTTGAATTTTATTATGTTAATAATGTGCCTGATACTAATTGTTTAGATATGTTTAGTTGTTTTATACATACCGTAAATGCAATCACTGAACTTTATGTAAAGTTTTTCGTATACAGTATATAAAAAAAGTGTGCACAATTGGGTTCCATTTTATTCCAAAGTTGTGGCAGTGTTTAAGATATCAGCTTAAAAAACCGTTTAGGCTTCTTTCTGTCGAATAGAAAACTGACACTTTATAATATTCGCTTCAGGATGAAGACCCTGCCACTGTTGGGATTCCTATAAGATCTAGCTTATATTTTATTCCGACAGTATGTCCAATTTAGTTATTATGTCTAAAAAGCTTAGTGAATTGTGAAGTTAACCTAAAATGTCTTCTTTGTAAGGGTAAGCATTTTGTACCTGTGGTGGTGAGTGCAACCTTAACTAGTGGAGCCTTGAAGATTTTGTTCTCTTGTCTCTAGTTGAGTAGATAGAGTATGTAGCTAAAAAAAATGTTATTATTTTGAGTCAGAAAGTTCTAATGGATATCTAAGGGATAATTTAGAAAATTCTTTAACGATAATGTTTGCATATCTTTGACAAGTTCTTCTGTTTGCATATAATGCAATTTATATGGATGAGCTAATATGCCAAACTAAATTGATTATTTTTGTAAAAACTTGAGTAGAAACAATGAGTAAAAAACAATTATATAAGCTACTGCAAGTTAATTAAAATTGGTTATACAACAATTGTCAATACCCGTTTGTCGATGTAATATTAGATAGATTTTGATTCAGATGACAAATAGGATAAAATGCAATATGTTGTAATAACAATATATAGAAACCATAGAGAACAAGTTTGTAATAATTTAAATTAAGTATATACAAGAACACTTAATACAAGAGGACTTCTCAACTGAGCTTTTAAAAAATTTGTCTCCAAAAACATTAAATATCTATTGCACATTTAATTAATAAACACAAAAATTTTATATACTTACTTCCTCAGTACCTTTGATTACATTGTTTGTTTACATTTTACATATGAAATATGTAACAAATATTTTAACTTTTGGTAATTTCCCTAGTGGGAAATTTATTTTTAGTTTTTGCATTCGACATTTTTCGCCTTAAATGAGCTGATGTATTTATAATGAGCTCATTTGTATGAAAGTTCTTATATGTATAATCATTCTTATTAGTGCCTATAATGAGCAAAATCGCCTAAATGAGACAGTGTGAATGTGTTATTAGTTGAATTCGATTTTCATCTTTTTTTACTTCTTTGTTGGTCAGATTATTCTTTGTTAAATCTCAATTTTTGTTATATATCGACCACTAGCATTTATAAAATATTATTGCAATAATTGTATAATTTTGAATTTATACATTAAGAGTAAAAATTTGCTAAACTTTAGTCCAATTTTAAAATTTTAGTTTGATCATATACTCTTTTGTCATATAATCAATGACAGTTAATAATTTTTTTTTAAATTGGATAATGTTAGCAATACTATGTAAGTAAAAAAAAAAGCTACAAAAAATGTCATATAAATTTTCGTTGTCTTTCTCTCCGGTGTACACATATTTTAACGTATTGGAGTCACGCGAAATATAGCTTACAAATCTAAAAACGCGCATAATTCTCGTTATGTAAATATATTCAAGACTTTCAGACTTTTATTATATATACATTTATTCTAGTGGCCAAAGAAATTATAAAAATATGTTGAACTGCGATAATTGCTTCACTAACAAACTACATTGTCCTACCAAACCTTGCAAGTTACATATGCGAGTTTTGGATATGTCTAAATGGACTCTCAACACGGATTGTAGGATATTATCATTGGCAGACTATTTTATTGTAATGAAAATAACAATTCCCACAATATTATTAATAGCGCTATGCGTCTTTTTTTATACAAAATGGAGACGTCACCCAGTTGAGGATAAACCAAAACTACCGACAGCCCTGCCAATGTTAAGTCGCAATATGACTTTAGAAGAGTTACAACAATATGATGGTACTGGAGTAGATAAAAGAATTCTTATTGGTCTTAATGGAAATATATACGATGTAACAGCTGGCAGACAAAAATACGGTCCTGGCATGCCATTTGAAATGTTTGCTGGACAAAATTTGACTTTTCGTGATTGGGAAAAAATCATTTCGTTTGCATATTACAAAGTTGGAAAAGTTATTACTACAAAAGTAAAGTCAAGAATATTAGATACAGAATCTACTTCGCAAGAATCATTGAATGCTATTGCAAATAAATTTTTGCGGAGCAGACCCTATTATAGGAGAAAAATGAACAGGCATGGCTTATGTTATAACACCAAAGAGGAATTAAGACCTTTAACTTTTGATGATGATGTTTATGATTTAGATTCGGATGACAGTCATATTCTGAATAATTGTGTCGATAAAAGGATAAGTACAACTGTTGAAACTATTAAGTACACGAGGCTTTTGAATGAGACCGAGGTGTGAACTATATAAAGCGTCCAGGATTAATTGTGGCTTTGTTTTATTTTCTGTTACTAAATTAAATATATAAGTTTAATAAATAAATAAATAAAATTTGTGTAGTTAAAAACGTTTATAAAAATTGTTGGGAGCGGATTATGCCAAAATTAAAGTTTCTGTTAAAAGTACAATATATTAGAAATTTAAGCTGCTCACAATTTGTTTATTACATACTCAATGCCGATTAAGATTTAAAGAATCGTGAGATTCTTTAATCTACTTAGTAAGTAACTTTTTAATTTTAGGGTAAACTCTTGTATGGTTCGATGGAAAGTAGTCGAAAAGGCAGATATTGGAGACAAACAAAAAAAAATTTTTAAATGTATGAAAGAAACCCGGCCGACTTAATGACAGAAATGTATAGAAAATAATATTAGAAATAACTGGACACATTTCACGGTATATTTAAAAATGTTCATGATGATGATGCGATGGCTAAAGTTAATACTGAAGAAGGTTCTTTTGGAACATTAATGTTTGCGTTATGGGTAAATGTAAAAAATGCTGACTAATGAATTTTAAAATAAATTAATTTAAACTGAAAATTATTTATTTTTAATGTATGTAAAATATAGAGTTTACGCATTTTCCTATTAAAATAAAGTACGAGGGTGGTTTGATATGTCAGTGACTTTTTGAATTTCCCGCGCAGTTACTCCAAATGCAACAGTGCTGCCGTCAGCTGTAATCTACCAGTGGGCAAAGTTTTAACTTTGAGCAAGCTACGCCGTTCAGTTGGTGTTTGATAGCCGTTTAAAGCAGACAACCTCGTGAAAGGTTATTATTTTTTTGTTATCTATACACTATGTAATGTTCATCAGAATCGTAAGTTCATACAATTCTATAGTGAAAGTCCTGAATCTGATAAGACCTAGGATGTCACTTTTCTACTGTTATCATATAGGTTCTGAATATCTGGGCAAAAGATATGCCTGAATATTATTTATGGTCACTCATATTGAGAGGACATAGGATCTCTCAAAACGCTATAAATTTAATTATTTTTATTAAAGCCTTTGTTCACTAGGAATGTCGTTTGGGTATGTTAAGTTGTTGTTTTCGTAGAACACTATAGTTTTGCAATTATATTTAGTTAATTTTCCAAGATAGTTAAAAAATGTTTTTGACATATTTAAAAAGCTGCCGTGTTAGTTTCTCTGCTGAGGATGGCTATGATTAGTTAATTAGATAATTGGTTAGTTAATTAAGTTCAGTGTTCTCTTTTAAGTTTTGTACTGTTTAACCAGACTTAGTTATGTGTTATAGTACGACAGAGTAACTATAGCAAAAGTACTTTCTATGAAGATCGCAATTCGATAGTTTTATATGTTAGCTTTCAATATCAAACGACTACTAAAGGACAAAAAAATGACTTAGTCTTCTAAGTCTTAAATCTTGAAATCAATGCAATAACTATATATAACTATCGTTAGGATGATCGCAAAGGCGCACCTATAAAATAAGTCAACTTTTCTGCTGTCGCACTTTAAACGACTTCTTTTTATTTGATTGTGTGAAAAAACTAAACATATTTTTCACAAATTTATTCCATTAAAAATAAAACTGAAATTAAATTCAATTAAAAAACCATCTACAGTTTTGTATACTGAAAATTGGTTCTAGTCGGCAAAGTTTGTAAAAGTAGCTTTGTCTTTTTTTGTATTGAAAACTTTCAGAATGAAGTGAAGTAGTTGGAGTTGTGAAAAATCATGAGAACTTTATTTTATTATTAATAATTAAATCATTTAATTTAGTAATTGCTTCAATTTCAAAATCCATTATGTATTTTTTTTCACTTTTAATTGTTTCATTTTGTGGGTGAGCAGAATTCACACAATTGCACTTTCATTAAAAAGTTTCCAGGACAATGAATGAGTTTTCATTGTATTTTTAATTTAGGTCACTTTTATTTTCTCACTTTAAGTTGAATTTGATAAGTGAAGTGCTTTGAAAAAATTCTCTGAAGTTTCCAAATCAATGATTATATTGAAATATTAAATAATACCACATAAAAGAGGGGAATTTGAATAATCAAGAAAAATTTGAAAAATTAATTAAATTCTGAACTGATAATGAAAGCAAATAACAAGAAATATCATTGTTATGATACTTGTATATTTTATGTTCATATTTTTAAGATAAGATTTGGATGTTCTTTATTTACGTTATTTTTTAACCAATATACAGTATTAAAAGTTTATAATTAGGAATAACAAAAACAATAATTGCATTACTATATTTAAGAACATAATACAGGATAGTTTTACGGACAGAGAGTCCGTCCTGAACATTACTATACATAATTGCTCTATCTACAAAATTAGAAACCTACTCCCATTTCGCTTCATTTAAACATTAATTAGTTTAGATTCATACAACATGCTATTTTGAATATGATTACATCGAAACTCCTTCAGTAGCAGGCATCTTTCCAAAAAATGTCGCAGATCTTCTATTTCATCTAAGAACGATATTCACTAGTTCAGGCATTTTCGAAACATTGATGACCTAGAGAGCGAAACGCATAGCTTTACTAGCTTGATTTAAAACTCGGCATGGAGCAGTTCCCCTCTGCAGAATAGTAAGCAATTTGATAAGATGCAAACTTTGCAAGCATCACGTTTAATACAAGATAAAAGAAACCTTAATAATGCCACTGAAAAATTAAGACGACAAATTAGAAACCTTAAAAATGAAAATACTAAGAAATATCTTACAAGCTTGACATATGACAGTAAAACTATTTGTTCTCTCTGGAAAGCTATGAAAAAATATGAGAGACCGATTTCTCATAACCCTCCCTTAAAAAAAGATAATAATGAATGGTCGAAAAGCAACATAGAAAAGGCACATGTACTGGCTGAATATCTAAGCAAAACCTTCAGTTAAGAAGAAACCCAGCGCATTGAGCCAAAAAACAACCTAAATGATCAAGCTATTCTGCTGATAAAAAGCAAAGAAATCCAAACCAAAAAACTAAAGTTAAAGAAATTAACAGGATATGACCTCATAGCTCGTGAAGCGTTGAAAGAGCTAACTCCAAAAAGGAGTGGCCTAACTTGAACAACTATTTAATGCGGGAATAAAATTAAAATATCTGCCAAATAATGGGAAAGTTGCTAAAGTAGCGAAGGTTCTAAAACCAGATAAGGATCAACATTCTCCTGCCTCGTATAGACCAATCCCGCTCGTGCCAGCCATAGGAAAATTGTTTAAAAAGCTCATTTGTAAAAGACAAATCAGTCTGGATTTCGAAAAAAACAGTCGACGATTGAGCAAGTACATAGAGTTACGCATGAAATCGAAAAGGTCTTAGAAAACAATGAAATTTGTTCAGATCTGTTTCTTTTTATCTCAACGGTTTTTGACGGGGTCCGGCATTCTGGCCTGATATATAAGCTAAACACTATTTTGCCACAGCAATACTGTAAACTATTGGAATCGTATATTGGCGAAAGGTACTATCGAGTTAAACTACATGACGCGTTCTCACAATATTCTACAAATCACGAGCTTCCTCAGAGAAATATACTAGGCACATCGTTATACTTGCTGTACACATATGACTTGTCAGTAAATTCAAAGTGTGTTGTCGGAACTTTTGCAGATGACACGAGATGAAAGGTAGATGCCAAACTGAGATGGAAGGTACACGTCAAGAAAAAACGAACTGAGCTAAATATTGGTTTTAAAAAGTTGAGTTGGATCTAAAGTCTCTCAGCAGAATAAACTTATGATATACAGACAAGTCTCCAAGTCGGCATGGCTCTATGGTAATAAAATTTGGGGTTCCGCAAGCATCCCTGTTTGTTTTCGGAAACTATTCTGATGAAGTCCAAAGTTTCATAACCTGTATAAATAACGGATTGTGTTTTTATATTTTTCCTATGGGATGCAACTATTTTCATTGATATGCTTTTTTGATGCAATTCATAAATTAATAATTAACTGATGGTGTGACATTATTTTTTTAAAGTTTTTAATTTTAAGGCTGTTATTAATTTTAATCGATTGAAAAGCGCTGCTCAAATGTCATTTTTCAAGTTTATAATTCACCAATTGTCATTCTATTAAATACTAAGAAGCCATTGTTGTATGGATTCATTGGTCAACTCTAGAGTGTTTCTTTATCTATGTAAGCGTTTATAGTTCTATATTAGTTTTATTTTTTTTTTCACATAAAGTGAGAAGACTATAAACCTTAGAATTGTAGTTGCAATATCAATGACAACAAGTGTTCTGATGAATTTGAAACTATGAGGGAGGCCAGCATTTTTAGACTTTTCCTAACTCCAAAGACTGCACACTCACTAGTTCTAGTAAAGTAAATGAATACATATTCAGTGTATAAAAAATTAATATACAATTTTGTTAAATTCAAGAATAATAAAAATGGATTAATTATTAAAATATATGTAATATATGAAATATAAAGCTGCAATAAAATTGTATTTTATAGAGGCGTCAACTGTCATAATACCTATAAAACGTAGGTTCATTACTTGATTTCGTTTCCAATGCTCGAACGTGGTGTCATTTGTTAGCTAAATTAGATACTTTTTTTAATCAATTGCTTTTAAGTGTAAAGTCTATGAATTTTTGTAAAGCTTATAAGCTTTCAGACGATTTTATATGCTCTAAAAAATATAAAAGCGTAGAAATTTCTATGAAATTCGATATAATATATAATATTATGATACTATAAATGTTACAAATTTTTATTATATTTATTTAGGGTAGGATTTTATAGTAACTAATATCAGTCAAAAAAAGAATAGATAAAACTTCTATTTTATATATTATTATATTTTATAAAAATATATAATAATAATATATTATTTTATTCAGGCCAAGTCATGTTGGAAATACAGTCAATGAAACTGCAGATGCACATATAAAATCCAACTCAGTCTTGCTGCTCTATCTGCATCTTATTGTGAAGCTAGCTATACTACAAATTATACTATAATAACTGATACAAAAATAATTGAACGGACTCGTTACTACTAGAGTCACCATCCGGTAAGC